ATCGAACTCATGCAGAAGTGGCTTCAGATTCTCAGTGCTGTGCTTTAACCCACTGCGCCACCAGGGAGGGCCGAATTTTTTCTTTTTATGGTGAGGTATCATTGACATATAACATTACAGTAAATCCTCACTTAACCTCATTAATAGATTCTTAGAAACTATAATTTTTACCAGAACGATCATAACATAACCAATTTGACCATAGGCGAATTTTTTTTTCTTAAGATTCATTTATGCATATAAGAATTGGGTTACAGGCCAGAGTTGCGGAAGGTGAGAGGATTCACCAGTGACAGAGTGGGGAGCAGAACAGCAGATACACTGAAATACACTGGGGAGGGGAGCAGCGGGTGAGATAGGGGAGGTCTGTCGCACCATATCAGTCACCTCCCTGGCCGGGGATCGAACTTGTGCTACAGTGGCCTTTACTATCTTTGTGCTGTGCTGTAACCTGCTGCGCCACCAGGGAGGGCCCCTGGTATATACTTTTTCTGGAGGGCCCCTGGCATATATTTTTTCTCATCAACCTTGTAACAAAACAATGTTGAACGAAATATGCGGATGCCCTGCCTTTGATGTGTCTCAGGTGCATACACTAATGGCCCTGTATAAGCATATACACTTCCAGTTTCTACTTATAAAAGCACTAGCATATCTTACCTTCCCCTCAAACTTGGGGTGTTTAATCTAAATGTGAGCTCCTCATCTTCCTACTGCTCCCTCCCCGCTTTCACCCACGTTGCCCCTGCATCTCTGGCCCATTTATGTCAGTTCTGAGGTCGAAGATTTAAGAGGCTCAAAAGCCTGAAGAGTCTTGCCCAAGGTTTTTCTTCTCTTCACAGATGTTCCTCTGAGAGTCAACTGAAATAGAATGGAGTAAGGGGTGCTTGTCACTGCAGCTACTCCCTCAGCAAGGCATCCTGTAATCAGATCTTTGGTGTGATTTCTCTTTTGCAGAAATTGCCCTATATGAAGACAGTTTACTTTGCTCAGCAACAGGAACCCTGGCGTCGACTCAGCATGATTCCCACGATCACCTCTCTGCGAAGGGATATTTACTATTATGATCCTCAGGTATCTAGCGTTGAAGTGCTATTTCTCTTGACTTAGGATTAACATCCTTTTTGTAAAGTAGCCTGACCCTGACTGTTTCATCATCTTCCCTTCTGTTCCAACTCAAGATCCACCAAACTGAAAACCAATCACCAATTTATCTGGCCTCTGGGTAGTCAGAAATCTTGGGTTTTGCTGCAATCAGTCATTTAGAGCAAATCATTTTTTTTTCTCACCACACTTCTCATTCTCCAATTATAATTATTATAATTATAATCGACCAATTATAATGGTCCAATGTATGAGCTATGGACCATTCAGCCCAAGCCTAGGAGAGCCCAGGACTCTCGGGGTCCCAGGAGTGAGCATTCCTTAGACCTAACCATTGAGAGAATTCTGTATTGACAAGAAGTCAGCATGTACAATTCAATGTGTAAGAATTGGTGTATCTGAGAACCCAAAAGGGGCCACTCTGCTCTTGGGGAAGAGTAGAGCCCAACAGACCCAGACTGGGAAAAGGGCAGAGGTGGTAAGTTAACCCTGGACTTCCTGTGCAGATTCCGAAGGATGACCTGGATTTCCGCTTATCCGCTTTGTACAACCAACACACTGGGATGTTCAGCAACAAAAATGAGATACTGCTCCACCAGGACACCATCACGGATACCCATGGGTAAGTGGTACAGGGGGAGCTTCTTTGCCTTAGGAAGCTGCCACCGAAGGGAGTTTCCCAGGCAAACTTTCACCTGGGAAACAATAAATCGAAAGGAACTCATTTGTATACTTTTCTTTGTGTGTACATATATATTTTTTACATCTGCATTACTAGTGAGAGTTCAGCAGCCTTTGTTTACTGCTCCTGGTTTGGGTGGGTGGCGCCTCCCTTTTCGTGCCCCTGCCCCTTCTACCTCAGGGTACTGTCCATTTTGTGTCCTCTGTTGGGGAAGGTTCTGGTACTCAGAAGCATGGTCTGCAGACTAAGCAGGACAGCTAGTCCTTTTATGGGGGCACTAGTCTCTTCTATTGAGGGACTGAAGAAAGGTGGTCAGGCCAGTATCAGCTAACACCCCGCTCTATTACGTCCTCAATGAGAGCTGCAGGGTAGTGAGGGTGGGAGTGTCCCCAACCTCAGCCAGGAGGACCCAGGTTCTCAGAGTAGTATCAGGAGGCAGCTCAGAGAAAGGGGTCCTCATGGGAGCAGAGCTGAGGGAAAGCCTTGGGGCTGCAAGCAAGGTGGTCATTTTGCAGGCTGAGCTGAGAGAAATGGGTGGCCACATTCTCCTCAGTTGAGAACTGCGGGTGCAGGGGTTCCCTGGGGAGAGAGACTGGCTGGAGTACTTGAGGACATGGCCTGAGAGGGACCTGGTGTTCAGACCTGGGAGTACGCTCAGTCATGCTGGGGTGGGACTGCTGCAAGATCAGTAGGGTTCAGGGTCTTTTCAATTTCTGTATCGTTGTCTAAAATGAATATAGACTCTCCAATATTGTGCTTGTATAAACAAACAAAATCTACAGTTAAATCCACAGAGGGGCTTAGATGGGACTTTAGCCACATTGTTATTACTTTTAATTAAGTTCTTTTGTTTTTTAAAAGATTTATTTATTTATTCATACAGAACTGGGGTATAAGCCAGAGTTTCAGGAACGGTGAGAGGCTTCACCAGAGACAGAGCGGGAAGCACAACAGGCAGATCGATTAAGTAAACTGCTCAGGGGAGCAGCGGGTGGGTCTGGAGAGGTCTGCCGCGCCATGTGGATCACCTCTGGGGCCAGGGAATCGAACTTGCACTAAAGTGGCTGCGGCCAGCTTGCAGTGCTGCGTCCTAACCCTTGGTGCCACCAGGGAGGGCCTAACTGAATTATTTTTAATTATTTTTATTCTTTCCCTCACCTTTCTCCTGATTTATTTCACTCTCTCTTGTTCTTCCCTATACCATCTTCTAGAATCGTGGCTCAGTCCCCTGGAGAATGTTTAGCACCTGCCCCCCCACCCCCCATCACTTCCCGAGCTAACATTAGACACTGGATCAACCCTAAAAAGGAATCCATCCACAGCATCCAGGGATCCATAGGTAAGGGTTAAGTACTGGCGGGCAAATGGGTGGTGCAAGCTTTTGATCTGGGAAACAGGAAGTTGATGTGATTGACTTTAAAGAACATCAGGAATACATTGAGGAGCTTGAGAGAACACATATAGGACAAAAACCAGGAAACATACTGACTAGAGCTATAAAATGAATTAAATTCCAACTGAGCCTCAAATCTAGGGAACAAAGATTCCAGCAAAGGGCAGAAACCTGGGAGAGGATCTATAGCTATCTCACACTGGTTCTCCATATGCCCATTTCCCCAGCTGTTAGAACCTTCTCCATAAACGTGTGGGTGATCAGATTCCTTAAAAAGGTAAAGGAGATGAAATTCACAACTCATTCCCTCTTCTCTTTTCTAGTGTCCCCTCACACTGCAGCCACAAATGGAGGCTACTCTCGAAAGACTGATGGTGGCTTCTTCTCCACCTAATGTTGACAGGTTCCTGGGCTAAGTAATCATGCTACACTGTCCTGCTCACCTCATTAAATAGATTGGTGCAAGATGAAGACTGAGGTGTCTGTTACCCATGGACTGAGTTGCGACTGACTACTCTTTAAAACATGGAAGGAAAGTTTCTCAACTTGTAGAAACTAGGCCTATTGGGCCTATTTGCAACTTGGAAAGTCATCTTGCAGAAGAGATAAGAATTTAGTACAGAACAGATCTGCTTTGCCCAGGAGACAGGTATTTATATTTCATAACCGGGAATCATCTCATATTTCCTACAAAACTTGTATATCATCAGACACTGAGTTAAATGTTGGGGAGGTAATAAACACAGCCCATTTTCCTATTAAACTTCTAAACATGTTAGTAACGTAAGGTACTATTAATATTTTTGCTGAGGTCACACTTAGATTTCCAGCCCTTCTGAAATTTTACTATACTCCTCCATGAGGGTCCTGATTCCCTGGACTTGGCTCCAGCTCTGCTATTGTCATTGCCTGGGAGCCAGCTTCCCTTTTTGTGTGTCAATCTGTACATTTGCTGATGACTTCCAGCAACAATGATACATAAACCTGGTTAAGGAACATGGTTCAACAACTTGATGCCTGCGTTTTGAAGGCACCTAAATAAATGATGCATTAGTATGTCTAAAATTACAAGTCAATCAGGTATGGTAAAATCCCATGTTCTAGTCAGGAAACCATGTGCATTGTTGAATAATCCAGGTGTGAAGGGTTTCTTCCTGGTCCTGAGCTGCACGATCTTAAATACCACCCAACTGTTATTGCTGTGTCTCCAGACCCCCTAGTCTATTCAGATAGTATCTGCTACCCAGGGACAGTTTCAGTTTTCATTATTTAGAATGGTTGCGTGGCAGAGGGGTGACTCTGGATAAATACCTCATGCAGGTAGTTATTTGAGATCCTGGTCATTAAAAAAACATATCACCCTGGTACATGCCTTGGGAATTTTAAAATATAGGTTTCTAGACTCCCTGATAATTCGAATTCAGTAAATCTGGAGTTAGTGGATTTTGTTTGCCAAGTTCTCATGGCTATAGATGCCCATATACAGACATGCATGTATGTGTGCACATGTATATATATGTGTATGTATGTATACATGCATATTATACACACACACGCATATCCACTAGTGACAGACGCTGTATACCACCTTTGGACCTGGAAGCACCAGAGTTGGCACCATACAAAGAAGCTTCATGTCAGGCAGGCCCATGAGAAATTAAAATAATTAGGGAATAAAAACTGCAGCAGCGTGAACAGGCCTCCGTGACCTTCCAGCTCCGCGGGCACCACGCCATCACGGTCACAACACCCCCGCCGACCCCTAAAGTGACCCGCCGCCCCGGGAGACCGTGCCCTGGGGCCGAGCTCAGATCAGAATCGCCTCGATAATCAATGGCCCGGGACGAGCCCGGCCTCGTCTATCTGATCAATTCATCACTTCTGAGCGCCGGGCCCCGTAAGAGCGACTCCGGGGCCGCGGCATTGCCGCCGCCCGAAAGGCCTCGCCACACAGCGCCCGCGGAGGGGCTTCGCAGGAGGGGAGCTTTTCATTTCGGGTCGGCCCGGCGGGGCTGGGGTTGCGACCCGATCAAATAAGATCAAGGTGTAGGCGGGGAGGGGCGAGGGGCGGGCACACGCAACCTCCTTGCACGCCCACGCGCGCGCACTCACACTCGCACGTCCACTCTCACACTCAGCCCGCACGCGCTGACCACGCAACACCCGGACACACACGCACCGCCCGGGCCCAGGCCACGCTCCCTCGCGCCCAGCGGAAGTCCGCGCGCTCTTTTATACCGCCGCCCCGCCTCGGAGGATCCTGGGAGGAACCACGCACACGGGCCCAGGGGACAGCGAGCGCTGCTGCCCTCGCGCGGCCGGGAGGGGAACCCGCAGACTGAACGCAGGTGGTCTTCAGAGCGTTGTGTAGCTACAGATTTACATGCACACCTCTATTTCTTTTGACCCACGTTCTGGATTGGAAACGCTCAGGAGCGTTTAGGTAAATCCAGAGCTGTCTATCTGTAGCTGAGTATATGCACTCACCACCTGCCCCAAAGAAGAACATTAAGCCCTCGTTGACTCTGAACTCTGTAATAGTCAGCACTCAGTGAACTAAAAAGGAAATTATGGGCAGAAACAAGGGGGGTATCGAAGTAAGTTCAGGAATTCAACATATGATCAAAAAAATAGACAGACACTAGGGAAAGAAATTTTATTTTCAAGGATTTTGCAGACAATGGTGAATTAAAAAATTGTATTTCAATTATAAAAATCTGACTTCATTCTACTCTGGCATAAGGGTTTATGGTGATGCCAGTGTGAGTCTGAGGCAATATTGCTGTCCCCATTCCTCTACTTCTCTGAGACTCCCTCAGAGGAACAACTCCCTATACTTGCAGTGGAAAATAGACAAGACACATCAGCCAATAATGAGTTTTAAAAGTTTTGCTTATCTGCATACATAAAGTCAACAAATGAAATAAGCTGTGTATTTGTTTCTTGCTGTAAATTATCTTCACCCTGTGCAATTTTAGGTACATTCTGGTATGAAAACATCTCAAAACTGAGCTGTTCAAGAGTTATGTCAGGATAACCCACTCAGTAGGTGGTAAAAACTGAACTTGAACTGTGAAATGGAAATAGTTTAAAATATGAAGGATTCCTAAGCACCAAAGCTTAGACACTAAGCCCTATTAGAAAACAAATCATTAAAGCTACAAAATAACAAGTGCAAAACATGCTAAACCTGTTTTCAGGGAGTCATATTCTCTCTGGCCAACAGGTCCCAAACTCACACCCACAAGGTGTAACTCTTCTGTTTCACTAGATTTCCTTCTCTCCTGTGAAAGATCCTTAGACATGATGGTGGAGAACATCCAATCGCTGAAATTTACCCTGTGGACCAATTCCTGAAGAGACAACAGTCACGACTCTGAGATGACTGGACATGTAGTGTTTACCTGATGACTTTCACAACCTAAACTTCTAGCAGCTTTTGTTCCTTTGCAGTGAGAAAAGACATTTTGCTGCACACAGGGGCCAACCACAACTAATTTGTCTAAAGTTTTACTTCAATGGACTTTTCAACCAGTAAGCCTATGTCTGTGCTTGCTTGTTACAAGTTTAAACCAACGTTTTTGTTGCTATTGGCTTTTTAAATAGAGACTGTCTAGGCTTCAAAAAACAACAAGTGATCCTTTTCCAGAGATCTATGGAGGAAATGACAGTCTTTCCTTTCAATGTTGTCATCTAAAATTATTTGCTCAGGAGTTAGTATTTTCAATTGCAAACCTGTCTCCTAAGAATCCTAAACAATTTTATTTATGGGTTTTATGAACTGTCCAATTGTGGCTATAACTTCATTTACAATCTCATGTTCTTATAATAAATAGAACTTCCAAGAGATAGCACAGAAAGACTTCTATAATATGAAGGAAATGAAAATTTGGCCAAGACAAACAAGTAATCAACTAAAAATTGTCATAACAACATCAATTTAAAGAATATAAAGTTTGTATCTTGGATAACATGACAAAACTTCCATCTAACATCAAATTCTTATACTAGATGAATTTAACTCATATATCAACTGATAGACGACCTCTTTATTTCTTCTACCCTAATGACAAATATATTACACAACTATTTCTTCAATACTTTCTTTCCCCTAGTGGTGGTATTTAAAACCGAGTAACAGTATTTGGTACTCAATAATTTAGAAAATATAAAAAGGCTTTAGGAAAATAGAACAGCAGATTTCATTCTCCATGTGCCCTTTGATTGGGGGAAGCATCTTTTGAGGATTCTGATGAATGGGACTTTTTTTGTCTAAGTTGTTGCTTTCTGGTCTCATAATAGGCGGGTAATTTGCAAATCTTATGTAGATGTAGGTTCTCTTGGCAAAGCTCTCAAGCTACCAGTACATGCACAGCTATTTCATCTGTTCTCTTTTTGCAGAGGATCAAGCCTCTCATGTTCCCACACGGGCATGTGAAAGATAAATTTCCAAAGAGAAAAAAACTTCTTGGCATTGTATAACTTCTGTTTCCCACCCAGCACCCCACAATCCCTAATTGCCAATCCAAATCAAACACTGGGAAAAAATATATATATCTTCTCCTTCCCTAATGAGCCTCTTTTGAAAAGATTCTGATGAAGAGCTGAAAAACAAAATAGGTGACAGGCTTTCAAGCAGAAGGTATGTAATCTTATCACCGGGGGTGTAATTTATCTGGATATGATATACTTTTTGCCAAGGACTGATTTACACAGATCAAAGGAAGTTGGCTTTCTGGAGTTCCCGAAGTATAAATAATGTTCATAGCCATGAGGAGTTTCCCCCACATATGGTGGGAGCAGATGCTGTGGTGTCATCCTGGGGGCCTCGATGATTTTAGCTGAACTCTCCTACACTGGGCCCAGGCCCCTGAGAGGGTCTTCAAGCTTGTTCCCTTGGTTGGCAGTTGCTGAGAGAGGTGCTTTGGAATTCATTTTATGAACAGGACATAAAAGGCCATTACAACGCAGGCAATCGCCACAGCAGCATGCAGTCTGGTTCCAATCACAGCAGCTAGCAGGCGAAAGTGAAAAAGAGAAATCACACTCTGTCCTTCACGAAAGCCATCCTGTTCAAGGTGGTAAGTTAAAGTCTCTAGTCACAAATGAAGAGATCTCAAGAACCCACTAGGAATGCACTTGAACAGTACTCTTAAGTTGTAGATTCTAGGTGAAAATACTAATTTATATTTTGCCCTATTTTGAATAAAGATTTAGATAGGTAATAGTCTAAAGCAAAGTGCCAAAAGTAAAAAGGCATCTGAGTTAATTAAGAGAACACTTAAAATGAAACTCTAGTGTATTTTTCCAGAAATTAAGAAAAAAAATTTTGTGTTTTTCATCTTTTTAGGGAAAACATTCCTCCAAACCCAGTTTAATCTAAAATTATTTATTTATATATGGAAAAAATTATATAAATAATGGAAAAATTATTTTTTAAAAACTTTTCCATAGAATAACGGGGGTGTAGGGTAGAGGTATGGGGGTGGAGGGTGAAAGGATTCTCCGGAGACAGAGTAGAGAACAGGCAGACTGACTGAAACACACCACTGAGGGGGGCAGTGGGCGAGACAGAGAGGTCTGCTGTGCCATATGTGAGTTAGCTCCCTGGCCAGGGATCAAACTCAGGCCCTGGCAGTGACAGCACTGAGACTAAACTCTTAGGTCACTGGGGAGGCCCAAAAAAAATTAACTTGATTTAACATTAAAAGAAGATAAAATCAAAACCAAGCCCAATTTAGGCTATCTCACCCCTTTCCAACACTTTTTAGCATTTTGTTTATAGATTATATCCAGAATCATTTTACCTTTGTAAAACACACC